TAAGTTTTCTCTGAGTTTTGAAACACGGTTTGTGTTCCAATGGAGGTTCCAGACTTCTTAGTCGACATTTGTCACAAATCATTTGCTTGCAGGGGCTTCAGGATGAGCAAGCGATTGTCCTTCTATCAAACCGTTATAGTATAAGTGTATAACTCCACATCACACGGTCTATACACACGGTACGTATAGACCGTGTGTATAGGTCTGCTAAGATCTCCTGCTCCAACCGCCATTAATTGAAGGTTAATAAGTTTTCTCTGAGTTTTGAAACACGGTTTGTGTTCCAATGGAGGTTCCAGACTTCATAGTCGACATTAGTCACAAATCATTTGCTTTGCGAGGGCTTCAGATTGTGCAAGCTGCGATTGTCTTTCTATTGAACCGTTCATCACACGGTTTATACACACGGTATAGATCGAGTGTATAGGTCTGCACATCACAAGGTCTATTCTAGCGGACCATTATAGTTTACTCTACACCACACGGCCCATAATCCGTTCTAATTACCGTCAGCTTTGACAGCTTCACAAGCTGCATCTGAGTGATGTTTCCAAATACCTGATATTAATAAGCGATGTTTCGCATGGCCTGCAACGAAAAGAGAACCTCACTATCTAAATGTCGGGTAAACTCTTGCAAATTTTGTATAATTAAATTCAAAATAAACATACTGCCATACAAAAATATACTTCCAGCTCATAAGTTATCGCCGACTTTATTACTATTTGGCATTATTCTCCCAAAAATGAATTTAATGCTAAGAATTTGGGGATATAAATATATTCACGAATATAACTGAATTCATGAATTCTCGGCGCCTATTAAACATTTACGGTTATACGTCGTGCTAAGAAGTAACAATTTCTGGAATAACTCTAACAATCCAGCAAGGTTTTCATCTGCTCTTGAATTGTTTACTAAATTGCCAGGCATCTGAAGGACATCTGAACTAAGCTATCGTCTACAACATGACAAGATTTTGTTTACACTATCAGGTACCTCCGCAGCCTTGAGTAGCCCTAGTAAATTAATAATTATAAGATGTGCTTAGCAAACAATTGCAGTGAACGGATTTCGTAAAATAATTTCAATAATAAAGTGGTAATAATAATACACAATGAACGCAACAGTCGGAGCGAAAAAGACGAAGAAACGAGGTTTCTTAAGTGTCACGGAGATTTCGTTCTTGGTAATTTCTTTAAAAGTTTTGAAACAAACTGGGAGAAAAAAAAAGAAATTCTGTTAGGAAATCTCAAGTGATCATTTAAAAGCTATCTTAACTGCAAACTCTAGTAAGCTTAGTCCAGCTGATAAAGTAGTTCCGATTAAATAAAAAATATGTTCAAATGCAGGAAAAATGTTTTGGATTGAGTGGTGATAAAGAGAGATTTATTTCAGCAGTGCATCCACGCAACTCTAAAAGACGGTTTATAATTGTTGAAAGAGCTACACACAAGTAGACATTGAACATAAAAATGCGGCTTTACACGAAAGTCCAAGATGCGGACCATAATTAGAAAAAATTTCATTAGCAAAGCCAGGAAGATGAGCGGAAATTATTTCAATCTCAGTCGGCAATATGGCAGAGAAGTTCGTCAAATTTCTCACCAACTGAAAAGATCGTAATGCCCCGCAAACGGTCCGATGCTGGTGCTGTATCCGATATTAATGACACAAGAAGCTCTAGTGAGTCGTGTTATTGAAGACAAGATAAATATTCCGTGCTGACAAATACACACGACGGAAATAATCTTCCCCAACTGGAATTACTGTTAATATTTTGAGGAATCTAAATAAGAACTTTTCCCTCGAGACTCTGATAAGGCATTTGACCGGATGGCTTGGATTGCATGCCTTAATACTCATAGAAATGAGCGAGGCTTTGTACAAATTGGGATGCAATTTTTGTGTTGACGTGGCTGATAATGACCCAGTTTGAGCCGTTAAAAGCCGTATCAGTGATACGATCAGAAAGTGTCACTATTTGGACAATGTGACTCATTTTTCTATGAGTGTGTATACATACATGACTGCATCACTTAAAACGGGACGCAACTGCCTGTTATCTCGTCCAAACAAAGTAAACGTAAGGCGTTATCGCACACAGTGATCGGCTAGACGTTAACAGTAACCTCTCTAGTTCAAGTACCACGCAATTTCAACAATATACTATGTAATTTAATACCTCTTCAGTGCATATGGCACTAATGTGTGAATAATATATATTAATATGGCACGCAATCTTAGCTAAATGTGTGAATAATATATATTAGACACAGCATGCAATCTCAGCGATTTTTGATTTCCGCAGTTCATATAGTATGCAATCTCACTAATATGTGTAATTACTCTACATGCAGTGCAATCTGAGCATGCAATCCCGGTGATTATTTCAAATATCATTATTGAGTAAGTATCAGTAATTTCAACGAAATGTGTAATACCTCTAAACGTTAAATTGCATCGTCTACCTTTCAAATCGCATCAATCTCAGCAATTTCTTATTGCCTTTTCAGTGCGAATAACTTTAAACATAAGTGCCACGTTGGACACTTTTCCAAATTGCCTCAACAAAATTTTGATGCGGGCCCGACTCAGAAATAGTTGCCGCCAAGGACTTGGGAGCCCGTAAATCAGCCGCTCTATATGACCGCTTCGGCTCAGGGTTTGAAAGGCAACCCCTGGGCAGTCTCTAGACAGCTTGCAAGAACGGTAAGACTCAGCTCGACAAACCCTTCTAATACTCTCAGGCGACTATGAATTCGGATAGTAGATTCTGATCAGAAGCGTATTTCAGACCCAGAATAACTTTAAGCCGAGTGTAGCGACTCTTAGACAGAAGAAAGGCGGTACCCAAGTTTTTTTAGGGTACTATAGAGGTAAGCATTTCATGTTTTTTAGAAATACTTTCTATTACATATTAAAGCAACTAAATTTTACTTGATTTTCAAAAAAATATATCTTGCTTTCCAACCCATTCAGAATGAAGGCGTGTAAATTTGAACATAAATCCTAAGTCATTCGTAATTTTAACAAAGCCAATGTCAGCTTTCATAACTCTCAGGTCGTTTGGCTGTTTTGACTTGTTTTCAGATCACCACCTAAATCGATCAGCAGTCCTGCCAGCCATAGCTATAAAGGCGGCCATAAAGCTCGCTGCTGCGGTTTTCATGGCAATAGATTAAAGTGTTTTATTGTTCTATCGTGACCTGAAGCCTGCCACAAACCTCTGATTTTTGTCAACGGAAGGATTAGCCTCTGAAACTGCTGCTCGAATGGCATTATATCGTGGTTACTTCAGCAGGAATCTTGCCCATCAAAATATTCATTGCTATCTTAATCTCAATTCTATCAATCATGCGTGTAATCTAATGTATCAACATGATTTACAGTTTTGAATAATACATGCGGTAACTCAAATTCACGAATCTTAAAGTTGCACTATTCAATATAAAACAAATTAGAAAACTTGCATACTTATTCTTGAGATTTCTGACAAAATAGTAATTTTGATTTTCCTCAAAACTGTTTGAAGCAATATGCAAAAAGCTTGAGTCGAAAAAGCTCCTCAACCGCTAAAGAACATGAATAAAAAAAGCTCAAAAAATCGTAATCCCGAAATCAGCGTCTGAGAGCGTCGTGCGCCATGCGCTCTCCACCAACCAAGCTCGCATAGAAAGAATTTCTACTGAATTTTTCCATTGCATTAATTTCTCTCATTAGCATGAGGCTGTTAGAGGCACGTCTTGGTCTCGAATGTCAAGTTAACACGGCTTGCTGCCAAAAAATCCAGCATACGGCATATTCTGGCGCTTTCGTGGATCCGGCAGAGATGAGCAGATAGTTTGCTCTTCAAAGGCGCTGGACTTGGACTTTAATTGAAGCCAGGCACATGGAAAGAAGAAAGTATGCATCCAGCTATATTCATAATTATAACTGAGGCCGTGGCTTGTATAACCGTAAATTTTGGTAAATTTGATAAAGTTTTATGCATATATAAAGACCAGAAATGTATAGAAAGAATAATCATGATGATAACGATTGATTACTTGGTATAACTATTTTAGGTATAAATAATTTGATTGAAATATCTGAATGAAATAAGTTTCTTATGAGAAATACGCATATGTTTGAAACGAGTTTGCGCCTCAAAAATATATTAGAATATTTTTCGAAGCACAGAGGTCCAATCAAGGCAATTCATTTAAAAATAACAATGCCAAAAATAAGGGCTCCAGAACACAAAAACTGTCTAGTTCTAAAGAAGTTGCGGTTACAAAAATTTTCATTATAAATTGCAACATTTCGAACTTTCTGCTTTAATTTTATATTGCCATTAATCGGAGTTAAATGGTGCCATAAGGAAGATGAATAACTAGAAAGTTCATTAAATTATTCATTTGAGTACTTCCTTTGTACAGACTTCGGTGAAGCTTCATCTAAAATCTATTCGTACAGTCAATCAGTCAAATTAACTATACAACAATACAGTCAAATTAACTTTTAGTTAAATTAAATTTTCGAAATCAATTCCCTATTCATTCATCGTGACCAATAATACTTTTACATGGACGAATCATAACCGCTCCGTTAGTAGCTCCGTTAGTAGCACGTTTCTTCAGTAACCTCGTTTCTGAAGTGACGCTCGTTTCTTAAGTGAAGCTCTTTTCATAAGTGACGCTCGTTTCTTAAGTGAAGCTCGTTTCTTTAGTGACGCTCGTTTCTTAAGTGAAGCTCGTTTCTTTAGTGACGCTCGTTTCTGCTCGTTTCTTTAGTATCGCTCGTTTCTTTAGTATCGCTCGTTTCTTTAGTATCGCTCGTTTCTTTGGTATCGCTCGTTTCTATAGTGACGCTCGTTTTTCATATGAACCCGTTTGTTTATTTCCGCTCGTTTATTTAGTTAACCTCTTTCGTAGGTAAGGAAACTACATTTCTACACCTACAATCATTCTGTCGAGTCTCCTTCATTGAATAAATAACGTTCTAGGGCGCATTTCAGTTCAGTAATCGCTGCCGCTGCCCCCCTCCAGACACGCGGCGCCCCCCGTCGCCCCCCCGCCTGGTGACGACGACGACGCGGAGCTGCTGCCCTCCGGCATGTGGATCAGGGCAGGCGTCGACTGCGACTCCTCCTGACCTGCCATGGGTGCGACGAGGCTGTCCCTAGGATATCTGTAGGCGAAGATCCAGTCTTCTTCGACCCTGAGCATCACGCGTCCTGTGATCCTGGCATAATACTCGTAGTTCTCGCGGCCAAACAAGTTACTCGCGCCGAAATTGTCTACTATGAACTGCATGATCTGAGTCGCCACCTTGAACCTGAGCACATCGTCCATGGTGGCAGTCTTGCCTCGCGCCACGCACGACCTGAAGAAGGAGGGAGCCACGGACACCCCCAGCGCCTCCGCCGTCATGCCCGTGTTGCTGCGGCCTGCGCTGTTGGCGATCACCCTGAATGTGCCGAAGAACAGCACAAGCAAATGCTGCGCCACAATAGGACGTGACGTGATGAGTTTATGCACCAAGTCTCTTTGCTGCTCCGTGTCCGTGAGCTGAATCATGTTGAAGAGCTCTTCTTCACCAGTGCGTCCAAATATTCCTTCTGGAAGCTTGCGCAAGAACTTCTTCAGCACGGACGCTGTGGTGTACACGCTGAAGTGTTCAATATTGAAGAGTCTGCCGCGCTGTAGAAAGTGTAGGAGTTTCTTCATCGAGGCCTGGTTGCCCGGAGCCCTGAATACATCCTTCTTCATAGGGCCCTCCTTGTTGAGCTTCAGTATAAGGACCAGAAGGGGGGCGGGGATATCATCGTACTTGCACGCCTGTTCCAGCGGCACTCCGAACTTTACTTCTTTAATGGTCCAGTACTGTGGAAACGATTGCTGCACGCACGGTGTACATGGCAGCGACCTCGAGTAAGTAGAGAAAAGCGATGCTGATGAACCACCGTTACGAGCTCCGTCCAGCATCCAGCCTACGTTGACACCTTCGTTGTTGACTATAGCATCGCCGTAGCGTGGAGGTGACGATGGTGATGTAGGTGGTGTGGTTGGCGTGGAATCCGAAGTGTCGCTGAGGCTGGTTGGGGCGACATTGCCTGCCGCGTCTGCGTTATCAGCGTCTGCAGCGCTGCTGGATAAACTTCTCTAAAAGCGGTAGCTTCGGTTCAGTCCGCCCATGCGTTTCAGCCCCATTCTTTTATCCGTAAAATCTTATGATGTGATTTAAAGCTTTCTCTGGCTAATTATATGAAGAAATATTCAGTGTTTTTCTAGCAGACCGAAGCTTGCGCTGAAAACAACACCAGTTTCACTGAGTAAAGCTTAGAGCCTTGAGAGTTCACGTCTAGGAAGCTTGTCAATTNTAGAGCCTGGAGAGTTCACGACTTTGGAAGCTTGTCAATTCTTGCTTGATAGAACAGTATTACCATCGATATCAATTATACCTTTTTGTTCCCAAAACGTAACAAACGAAAGGATTTATGCCAGTAAATATTTAGAGGACAGTATCAAGGCTATACAAACATCTGGAACAAAAAAAATTAAAGTACAAAATGTTAACTTTAATAAATGTTGTGCATTATCGATTAAATTAAGATAGATCGAACATTCAAATATAACCCAATAGGCTTATTTGTCGCTCTTAGAAATCAATTTAACACTTATAAATATTATGCTCCCTTTTTCCAATATTTATACACATTTATCGTTCACTGCAATAGAACGTTCACCAACCTATAGAACGCTGCTCGTGCAAGCTACCAAAAGAGATATAAATATGAGTGGAAGCTTTCTCACTGAGTTTACCATAGCATCTGAACAAGGAAATAACCATGTTGCCGAACATAAAAAATTACGACACATGAAATGGTATAGCAGATCATCAATTATCCCATTAATGTATCTCACTCGTACAGCCTGTTTGCTGCATTTGATCACATTTCACGGTACAAAAAAAAAAAAAACCTTTTGAAACATTCACACGCAAGAACTTCGTGCGTGTGTGAAAGGCACTGCAGGATTCTTTCTAAAAACAATGTCGGTTGTGAGACGCTAAGACCGTCGTGGTAGAGCCACACTGCATGGCAGCGGATGCAAAACCTGGCGCGGCGAAAGCAACGCTCCGCTGCCGCCAAACTCCGTGAAACTTCTCTGCATCGTGGGACACGGTCGAGCAGCTAGAGAATGCACGCAGTCTTCATTATTTCCACCAATGCTAAATGATGAAGAGCTTCCGTCCTTTCACTACCTGATCCAGCTTTCGCTCTAAAATACAATCTGGTATATAGGATAAATTCTGGATTTTGCATCATCATTACATAAAACATTTGAAATTACATCAGATGTTGGCGGCACTGTTATAAGATCCAGTAGAACATTGGTACGATAATAAAAATTAGTTAGTCAAATAAGTAACATATTTAATAGTTCATGTTAACCTACCATCATATGATGAGGTAGGCAAAATTACGAGTAGTGTTGGCACAATAAGAAGAAATAAAAGGTAGAATAACACCATGAGTCTGATCGTGTGCTAATCAGATCACAGCGGCGAGTAGAATGAACTAATAACGTAGGGTTGGTAAGATCCTGTCATAAGATGGATGAAAAATATCATTGGTATATAATATAGAAGTAAAAACATGTGTCCAAAATATAGAAGCAAAAACCCGTGTTGCACCATCTGGTACCTCATTGGTCACGTCGAGAAAATCGTAGAGCTGAAGGAATCGTATATTCAACAAAGAAGATCCTACGACATCCTCCTTGTACGGTGCAGTAATCCAGTCGCAGACTCGTACTCTTTGTTTCACAGAGGATCGGAACGACCATTATACGGCTCGCACACCAAGACAGAAAGGATGAAGCAGATTGAACAACAGAACCCGTGATGCGAGAGTCAAATAAATTGACGGCAACAAAAGAACGAGACCAGTCCACATAAGGTGATCTCAAGTAAGATTGCAACACTGAACTTTATACATACGTTCTTCAGAAATAGTCACTAAAATAATTTAGAAGATTTGAATGCTTTAATACGGAGCTTCTTTAATAGCTAGGTGGAACGGAATGTATCACTTTCTAAGCTGAATTTATTATATTATTCGTTCAGGAAGGAAGTTTCACTCCTGCAGCAATAGATGTTAATAAACGACGACAAAAGCACTTACTCATACCATCAGTTAGTTGTATAACAGAATATTCAGTACGTGTGCAAAATATAGAAGAAAATTCATTCCTGTGACAGATTCTGAAAAACAAGATCAGTGAAAGCTAGTAGATTATACTTTTCCATATGAAAGAAAGCAGCAGACATGAAGACATAAAGCAAGAAGCAGAAAAAGGAGGTCACACCGTGCCTGACAACAAAGAACGCAGAGCGTGATCCAGAGAAACGTCGTGGCAGCACGCGACAGAGCTACTGCGGTCCAGCAACACCTAAATTGTTGCGACGCTACAGAGCTACTGCGGTCCGGCAACACCGAATAGTCAACTGGCGGGTGTAACGCTTTTATTTAACCTTACAAATAAATGATGACTGAATTTAACCGAGATAAAGAGATGAATATTTGTTGAATTCACAGATCACGAACACTGGTCGTGGAGCGTGGACACGCATAAGCACAACTTCCGTTCCCAATTCAAAAAATTTGGAAAAATATAGAGATTACAAAAGTGAAATAATAAAGAGTAACATGAATTTCTGTCTTTACACTTAACCTTAATTACAATAATTCTACAAAGCATTTGAATAAAACCCATATGCACTTTTCCGAACATAAATTAACGGAAAGTATAAGTACATCCATGCTTTTTATGGCCTTTCCTAAAACACTGATGCGCCACTCCAGTTTTATTTCTAATCACTTCAAAGCTAAGTTAGTAAATGTGAGTGTAAGTTTACTTGTAACTATTTGCAACACTGCATTCGTACGACGCCTTCGCTCGTCAACACCTTCAATAGAACAGTTTGCACTTTACTGCCTTGTCACGCAGTAGCCTCACACAAGGCTGTTATAACGGGAACTGAGATAGATAAATTTTGAGAAAACAAATTATGATAGCTACAATTCCTACAACAGCATTATCATGTACCGAAGGGACCTCATATGAGAAAATAAATGAGACACCTGGCCCTTCGTTTCACAAGAAACCTATGAGTTCTATGTAATGATCACGTCATCGAGCAGCGTCATCACGAGACACCGTGACTCGGGCCGTCACATGTGAGACTGAGACAGTTTCCGGTAGCAGAGATAAGGAGTACAATGAGCGTGGCGGAGGTAAATACGACGTATGTGTTCAGGAGGTATATACGACGTATATATGTACACCTGCACACAGCGTATAACGGATGTAGCTGGCATGCGAGGCACCAGTAAACTATAGCACGTTTTCAGCAGCTGTTCACTAGATTGAATCGATCGTGTTCATGGGATGGACGAAATTAGGATACAAACCAACAGGTCGAAATACGACAGCTTAGCAATACAGAAAAAAGCCGCTACTCGTCACCGGAAAAAAATGTTTCAAACGTGCATAAAATGAATAGCTGAAACAATTTGAGTTAATAAAAATCATGAAGAATCGATAAATCTTGAGAAATCATTAGGAGTGCCGAATTTTCATACTAACACTTTTCTAATATACCGGTGATTATTAATCGGATTTTCTCAACCGATCGCTGGCACGAGTGCATGAGGACAACTCGATTAATATGAACCTTTCTTACCAATTCCAGCACTAGTTTTAACAAGGAATCTTATCGCATGATTCAATACTCCGAGCAGTTCCATTGCTACTCATGGTATGTATCACCAAATTAAATTATAATGGCAGCAAATAGGATACGTATTCATGGTAATTTATGAACTTTCCCAATATTACCAGTTGGCTGAACCGGAGACACACGAAATTATGGATGACAGCAGCGCTCGAGATACTTGGGTCAGCAAGTGTAACTAATGTAATCATTTACTGGCTCATCAACACCGGATGTGAGTACAACAAACATTTTCAGTGAACTCGAGTGCGCGTAATCAATGAAATGTGACACACAGAACCAACAAGGGGAGGTGTCCTGAGCCATGTGATCATATCTACGGGGAATTGAATCAGTACGAAGGAAACGGAACCTGACACCAAAAAAGGCGATGAAGAGTGTCTTTACGATAACATTTCAAGAAAAAGGTACACAAATACAAGATTTTGAAAAGATTGAGGTATTCCGATGCGTAACGAGTCAGTTATTGAGAGTAAAATGTTGGTACCACTTGACAAACAAAGAATTATGTACATAACGAAATGAATCTGATAATTGAACCTCATGAATACGATTTTCAGATCTAACTATAAAATTTTTACGTATAACTATGATCTACAAAAAAATTTTGTAGTATATTTATTACACCTAACAGCCTGAAATACAAGATTTTTCGTCTAAAGCTGCGAGATTTTCAACGAGGTTAATTGTAATTAATTGTTCTTCTTGATGTTGACGAACCCTGCCATAATTGACGTGATATAGAAAGTTTCCTTCGCTCATCACGACAGAGAAACCCTACAAATCCTGATATCCGCGAGAACAGAACAGTGATCACGAACCTTTGTCAAAGTACAGTTAAATCAAGAATTTTAAATCTAAATAAATGTCAGGAAAAGTCACTATATTTCACTTCAGAATATGCAATCAGATTATTATTTAATGACGATGAAAAATACGCAATTTGCCTGAGACTGCTCTCTCGAGTCATCAGTCCCATTTAGGAAACAATTCCAGCAGTTATCGAGTCATTAGATAGAAGATGAGGTTATTTGAATAGCAATACAACTAAATATAGAAGAGAGAGCTATTGTACAGCAAAAATGTTTACGTAGGAAGAAATTGCGCAAGACTTCTTCACACTAAACTTGGGCGATGAAGTCATGCATTGGAGGAAGTCAAATAGAATTCTTCCTAAACAATATTTTCACATTATTTATCTTAAACTTCAACAATCTTGGGTAAAATTGTTTATGGAGAATGAAGCTGTTCTTGGAAGTAATCTAAAATGTTCAAAAACAGCTTCATTGAATAGTTTGTTCGTAAGAAAGTTGATTCCTAAATAATTTTTTTCTTCATTAGCGATGAAAGCTTTACAACGCACCAAGACGAATTTACTGAATTAAATAAAGATCGTTCTAACTAGTCTAAATCAGTCAGTTATATGTAAATAAAACACGGACATGCGTGAGGACACGGTCCATTTAAATAGTTTTGAAAAAAACTTTTTTGAAATATCAGGCAGGTAATTCCACAAACAGGCTCACATTTTGCAAAATTATACAAGAAAAAAGACCCAAATTTACAAATTTGCTCGCAACTTTAAACAAGTTACTAGTACTATGCAACAAATTACACGTGAATACAGAAATATATATTAAATCACCCATCGACGGACAGACTCATTGTAAACCTATTTTTATACGTGCTTTACATACTCACCCTAATTCAAGAAAACTAACCTTAAATAACAGTACCAAAGTTGTTTCAATAAATAAGGGATTTAAGACCAATGTATGCAGTATATCAGCACGTGTGTTCTGCAGACATCACACCTGGGAACGGGAGCAGATCAGCGACGAGTTTCACTGCAGTTACAAGGCTATATGTTTAAAGTCGAGGATACATTCCCAGCCAGTGCTGAAATAATTCGTAATAAAACATGAGGGATAGGAACAAAGGAGCGCTAAATTTTAGAGATGAAACGTATTTGGCTGCACTAACACTATTTCATCTCATGAATTTACGACCAAACACACGGTGCAGTGGCTTTATCACGAGGAAAATGCACGCGGTGCCGTTGTTGTACCAAGAGGAAAATGCTCGCGATGCCGTTGTTGTACCAAGAGGAAAATGCGATGCCGTTGTTGTACCAAGAGGAAAATGCTCGCGATGCCGTTGTTGTACCAAGAGGAAAATGCTCGCGATGCCGTTGTTGTACCAGGAGGAAAATGCTCGCGATGCCGTTGTTGGAGCAAGAGGAAAATGCTCGCGATGCCGTTGTTGTACCAAGAGGAAAATGCTCGCGATGCCGTTGTTGGAGCAAGAGGAAAATGCTCGCGATGCCGTTGTTGTACCAAGAAGAAAAAGACTCGCTAGAAGCCGTATGGATTGA